TGCAGGTATTTATTCTTATCATCATATAAAAAATATTCTCTTTAAAAGAGTGTTTGCGAAGACACACGGCTGTCTATTCCTTTAATGATTATTTTCAATTTGAAATTGCGTTCAAACGGTCTGATCATTACGAATCGCCATTTTGATGATACGGGCCCTGCAATCAGAAATAGCACAGCTGTGCGTACGACTGGGTAGTTTATTCGTTTAATATAGTAAGGATAAAACGCTTTCTATTGCTGTAGTAATTAACTTGTGGCTCGAACTGTTAATTCATTATCATGTGACGGATAGTCTTAGTAAATATCGTCAGATCAAATAGTCTGCGGCTAGATACGAGCAATAAAATAGTGAGAGAAATCAATACGGACATCATGATGTTAACTGAATATGAACAACGTCGTTATGTTATTATTATTATTATTATTATTATTATTATTATCATTATTAACATTATAGTGGTCATCAGTAACACATTTATTTCCGCCATTATCATCATCTTCCTAATTATTAATATTTTTTTTATTGTATTATCCTTTACATCATCGATTTCAATACCCTCGTGTCACTATTATCGTTTTTTTAATCACTATCATGGATATCGTCATTATTATAATGTCACTATCACCACTATCATTATTGACATCACCATCATTCATAATAATTATTATGTATGTACTATAATATTAGGTGAGTCGAATGGCCGAGCGGTTAGCAAGCTATAACCATAATATCGGCGCTGGTTCGAACGGCACGCTCGCCTATGGTTCTGGTGGTAGAACAAGTCTTCTCGGATAAGGACTATAAACCGTAGGGCCAGTGTATACAATGGCTCGTGTGCACTATAAAGAACCCAGTACATCCTTCGAGACGAGTAGGGGGATACCCTGGTGCACTGGAACAGACAGCCCCTGTGGTGGACGACGAGAGTTGCTGGTACCGGGTTACCGGGTAGCACAGACACGAAGGGACCCTTAGGGGCGAAGAAAGTCATTGATTGAGTTCCTAGTCCACATATCAAGCGCCCTGTGCATATTACATTAGATGGATATGTGCGCTATATAAAACTACACTATTATTATTATTATTATTATTATTATTATTATTATTATTATTATTATTATTATTATTAAACTATTACTATTCTGCGACTTCTATACTACCGTACTACTGTTATTGCTACTGTACAGCTGTGGCTAATGCTACTACTACCACAACCACCATGAATAAATAAGTTTCCTCAATGCTACTTCTACTGATATTGTTGCTGCTGCTATTACCCCTACTTTTACTACTATTACTAATTCTTACTGAGACGTACTACTTTAAGGGGGAAATATAATCCGCGCAAAACTTGACCACCCCGTTTGTAAACAGCATTAGATATATAGTCTTCTATAGTTTACTTCTTTAATTCTTGAGGTAATGCTGTTTACAAACGTTGTGTGTTTTTTTCGCGGATTATGTGCCATGCCCCCTTAACTCTATTAGTAATACAGTAATAATCATTTTCAGCACAACGGTATCATTGCGCCTATCAATAGCATCATCATCATTTACACCATCACCACCAAAACCACCGCCACAATCATCACCATCCTCATAATAATACTATTACTAATAATAGTAATCATCATCATCCTCATCACAATCGTCAATTGTCGTCATTATCATGATGATGATAATGATGAGCTTCATCAGATCCATCACCACCATCATCATCATTATCGTTTATTATTTATCATTATTATTTTCAACATAAACATGATCATAAAGATAACGGGGATCACCATCACTTTCTCCTTCATCACCATGGCAATCGCTATGAAAATGATGATGGTAGTGTACTATCACCATCATCATCATTATTGTCATAGTTAAACACATGTACATTACAAGACCATATGGACGGAGAAAAAAAAACGCCTTTGCACACAAGGACCCCAAAAATTAACCAGAATTTAACTATCAGAAAATCTCAATTCACGGCACCAAAATCAACATTAAAGTGCCTATCCTGTTTATAATTGTAGTCTTATTAAACGATTTCATTTAAAATTATTTCCAGGACTCCCAACATAATTAATTCTGTGTAAATGGGCTATTTTACAGGCGGTTTTCACTATACCTTATTCTTTTTTTTTAACCGTTTTAACGTTTTCACTGTATACATAGAGTCCAATTTAAGTATTATGGTTTTTTTTTTTGTTTTTTTTTAAAAATATCTTTTTACATATATGAGTGATAAAAACACAACAATACATATAATTGATATAATTTCTATATTGTTGGTTTGTTTATTTTTGTTGATATTGTTTATTACTTTCACATACAGCAGCAGTAGGCCTACGTTTTGCTATTGCAGGGCAGCACGTGTTTCTCTGTAAACTACTGTAAGTCTCATTATACGGCACGGGGAGTTGTTTGTAATCGTGAGAAAATTATCATGGCGTTTCTACAGGATGCGTACCCAGGGCAATTATTTTCACCACCACACATAACCTCGACGTCATAATACCCGAGCATGTATCAAATCAAAGCATTCATAAATAATTTGTAATAAAAATCATATAAAAGGTACTTGATTGTATTAATTATTTATACTTTATTGTTTTATAGGCGAGGAAAGTCCGTTAGAATCTAACGATAGTGTAGTTTATAGGTCTGTTTTAAATGTAGCATGGTCATACAAACGTAACTGTAACATATATCTCAATGTTCATTACTTGTTTATAATAGAATAAAGAATAATAAATATAATAATAATGATGCTATTGCAATAACAAATAATGATGATTATAATGACATTATTGATAATGAGTATGATGATACTAATAGATTAAAAATAGGCCTTGAGTAAAATATAGTATAAACGAAAAATATAATAAAGGTTATGGTGATAATATCTGTTAAATTATAAAAGTTATCATTAATACTGTATATTAAATTATATAAATAATAAATAAAATAATATTAATGATAATAATAATCATCATAATAATACAAAACATAGATTATTATTACCATATTGATAGTAAACAATAGTAATGAAAGAAAAGTACAAAAGAAATAATTTTTTCTATGGCGTATGTACGATGAACTGGTAGAAAAATGATCTATATTACCCAAAAATTACAAATGCATTATTTTGTCAAGGCCACTTAACGGTTCATGTAATTTCCTATGGCTGATTAATACACAATTAAAGATAATTAATTAAAAAAATACCAGAACAATGAACGTAAACATAAAAGGTCCCTGGTCATAAAACGAAAAACTTATCAATTACCTACATCAATTTCCATTACCGGTATTGTTTGCGATATTGAAAGGAATGCGCATTCATCAGCAGGGTATTGATACATGGTAATGTAGGCCTCGACTTATTACCAGTCAATTTTAATTTTAATCTATGCTTGTATTTCAAGTACTGAAGTTTGATTTTCAAGTGCTATAACTTGCGTTTCAACTGTTGTATCTTACATTTCAAATGCTACATTTTGCGTTTCGAATAGACCTATGTTTTCTCTTGCGTTCAGATGCTACAACTCCAGTTTCCAATGTTGTTAACTTTCAGAATTATATATATATATACTGTCTCTTATACACATCTAGATGTGTATAAGAGACAGCACATATACTAGGCCTATTTTACTGTAATAAAAATGAGAAAGTTTACCTGACCGTATTATATAATACTGTATTAATCATCACTTTCAAATAAATAAAATTGATAACGTGGTAGGAAAAATGAAAGAGAGAGAAAGCTCCTGAGATCTGTTTGTTCGTGCGTCTATATATACTTTGGCGCCTTGTAGCTAGCTAGCTAGCCCTGTACGCTGTCTCGCCTGATCTTCCCGATACGCTCAAATCCCTATTCTCATTATAGGGCGTTAAAGGAGGAGTTTGCCAACCTGTCATTTGTTTTACTCTAGCTAACGAGAATCTCTTTTCTATGATAGATTTCATCTTTCCAATACAATATCTCATCATAATTTAATATACAATTAGTTCAGAAATATACGTTAAATCATTTTTAGCAGAATCTAAATCCAGGAAGCGCACATAATAGCCTATTGGACTAAAAAAAAATCTATAATAGCAGCAAGCTCTTTATAAATTAATGATAGTGAGTGTTGATATCAGTTGATGTTGAGAATTATGATAAAAAAACCGGCAATAACAATATGAAATCATAACCTGTTTGAGATCGGTAATAAATTTGTAAACTAATCTAATATTCGACATGGAAGTACGGCTTGAGTAAACAGCATATGTACGCATCAATCAAGACCTCACAACAATAAAGTAGTAAAGAAATAGATTGAATTTTGTATCTGCCTATTTCTGAACGTTACGCTGACATCTGAGAAACCAGGGTATGGTTATCGACCAATGAACGGGGATTAGGGGTCGCATATGCAGTGACTATCATTGTCAGTTCATGGAAATATAATAATATCAAAACAACCTCAACTAAACGACTAGAGGATCTGGTAATGAAACACAATGTACCGTAGCAAAGAGATAGTCGATAATTGTATTTGGTTTAATCATTGAGGCGTCACCCGACATAGGCCCAATTTCACCAGTATTAGGCCTAAATATTTTGTTATTAATTGTTTCTTCTAGTGTTGTTTTAGATAATTATACGGTACTTTCAACGACTTCCTCAATCGTGTATGGATCGCAGCTGCAGTGCATGAGCCTATGTATGGAACGAGAAAGAAAAAAGGCTACAAGAGAAAAACCACACCGGCGCTGATTCACATGAAAAAAGGACAAAAAGAACACAACAAAATAGAGAAACACGGCGAAAGGAGGTACATATAGGATATGTAACGGCTGTATGAGATTCACTCGGGATACTGGATTAACAATAGCGGAGCGCTGCTGAGCGTGTGTGTATGAATAGTGGTGAAGGATTCGACAGTGGTCCCAGACCAGCTGAGCAAATAATACAAGACATACTCTAAACAATTCACGAAAAACTCACGTTGTTTCCTTTTCTCTAAATTGTAAATTTATTACTACAATAGTTTGTTTTGTTTTGCAATATAAAGTGTATCATTAAGGCATTATGCCTATACATATATCAACTATAGAAAGAATCAGGATTCTGTTCGATCCGAGATTGTTGTTATTTTTAATTTATTAGATTTTTTTTCGTTCTCCTCTTAAACATTACACCAACTATTTTGTTTATTTGCTTAAACATTAAACAAGTAAACAAGTGTTCTTCGAATAATTGTCAAAAGACGGTATTTAAAATTCAGTTAAAATTAAATATCGAACCGGCAATAGAAAGACGTATGGATATGAATCACCCGTAAGTTTACACTTACTTTTTGAAAAAAATGAAGAAATTAATATAGACGTTTTGATACAAAATTTACAATATATACAAAATTAATATTGGCAATAAATAATGATAAATCAATATCTAAACCTTTGTTTTGTGAATAAATTACGAGACACTTCAAGGTGAAAAACTATAGTTTTGCTTTGTTGTACAGCCGTCAAATTTAAATACCATACGAGATGTTAAATACTTATCAAGTTGGAGAATACTTATGGTGGCGAGCAACAACATACCCTGACGTTTACAAAAAATTAGATAGGCCTATTTGTTCTTTACATCACGTTGTTTACCCTTCAAATAATTGCGCTTTGAGCTAGGCTATCTCGTGCTTGAACGCAGCACCGAGACAGTACGGCTATGATGAGTATAGGGTCCGCGGTAATCAGCAAGGTAAACAAACCACTGACGAGTACAAAGGCCTAGGGATTGATGAATTGATTTGAAGTTTATTTGGTACTCTAAAACACAAGAACAACAATTCAGAAAAAAATTGCATAAATATAAAGTAAAAAAAATATTGATAAGAAGTTCAGATATATAAAAACCCACAATAAACCAAGCGAATGCTGAATCAATTTAATATAGGATCCAAAATTATTGCAAAAAAATTTAAATAAGGAACAGATTTGCCTTATTAACTACAAGGAAAATACCCAAAATCTATAAAAGTTCAAAATTTTAGAAAGTTAACAATTTGGCCTGTATAATGTGGTGTCAATGGCTGTGGATAATTTATAGATTCTATACACCTCCCCCCACCCCATCTGACTATGGGATAGTTTTGTTTTTGTTGTGCTTAGTTATAACGATAGAAACCGAGGTGGGAGTGGTTTAAGCACACCGAACGATAAAAGCACACAAAAGAATTGGCACTCGAGAGTCGAGCAACTCGAGCGTTTGTCTAGCACCACTTAAGTTAAATAGTTTTAGATAATAATATATTAGTTTTACAACTGCAGAACGTGTTCTGCTAGGACACATTATTCTGTTTATTTGAAGAACAGCAGACAATAAATGAATTAGACTCTGTTCCTCACATTATCTTTCAAACGTAGGCCTACATAAACTATAATATTTTAGGCATGATCCACATACCGTTGAATAAAAGGTCGATATAATTGTGTGAAGGTCCACAATAGAGAGCCAAACCTCTGTTGACTTCCTTTACATAATAGCCCGGGTTTAGTGAATACCATATTTGCATTGTACTCGTGAATATGGTTTCTGAGACTCTTATTGTTATTCACACAAACACAAGATTTTGTCATCTTTCTTTTAAAAATGTTCTTTTTTTTCACTTGAGAATAATTTTCAAATAGTTATTAGATTTACACATTTCAGAACTATACATTCCCAAGTTTAATGATTTTTGGGGGGTTTTTTCAAGTAAAACCATGACAATGACAAAATCATTTGTTGTCCTGAGATTAGTCCGCAGTTGAAAAATTGATAGATAAGGCTCACCTAATGTGGCATCGACGGGTGGGGTGGCGTAGGGGGTAACGTCATCGGGAGCGGTGACTGGTGGTGCATATGTACACTCGGAGAAACTTTAGTACGGACGGCAACAGAACATGGGCTTGTGTTTGAGATGTTAGTATGAAGCTGAGTAATCCCAGATGTCACCTGCATACCTTGTTGTCCTGGCGGTGGAGGTGAATTCTCCATCATATCTGATTGTTCCATTGCGCCATGTGGCATCAATAAGGGTGTCATTCGCTTCTCCTTTTGACGACGATTACAAAACCAAACTCGGACAACTTCTTTTTCAAGTCCCAAGCCTTCCGCTAATGTACCAATCTCTTGGGCCGACGGCTTAGATTGCTTTAAAAATGAGTTCTCCAAAGCTCCTTTTATCGTTACCTCAATACTGGTGCGCTTTTTTCGCTTGCGTCCCTGTGCGGCAATTTTATCCATTGCTGTTGGGCAACCTGTCGTTGAATCAGCTTCTTCCAACCACTTTGCAAGCAGTGGCTTCAATTTGCACATGTTCTTAAAACTTAACTGTAGGGCTTCAAATCTACAAATAGTTGTCTGACTAAAAACGTTACCATACAAAGTTCCAAGAGCAAGCCCAACATCGGCCTGTGTGAATCCTAATTTGATTCGTCGTTGCTTGAACATTTTGGCAAACTGTTCGAGATCGTCTGACGTAGGGGCCTCCTCTTCGATCGGTTCATGCTGGTCGCTGTTAGGAGGTGAATTGCACTGGGCCAGTTGCTGGGTCGGACTTAGCATCCCATTCATAGGTCCGTACGGGTGATGAAGATGCGATAAAGTATTACTCGTTAACATCGGAGGCATACTCATTGATGACATATGAGACGAAGTCGGCGTGTGAGAGTTCCAGTGGTGCTGATGAGCCGGTCGAGGCCCACCATTTTGCATATCATCTCTCTGTGATAAAATAGGTTTCATATCTGTTGGGGTGAGTAGTGCCGGTGGCATAGCTTGTCCCCATCCTCCATCGTTATGCGAAGATGACAGGCCTACCCACTGCGCCGTTGGATGATGCGAAAGTTGTAGGCCATTTCCCATCATAGGGTAATGTTGTTGTTGTAAAAAGTCCGCATTTGTAAGCTTTTGATGGTGATGGTACAGCGTTGGCCCTGTACTTGTCTGCATTGTGTCAGTCGTATAAACAGTTCTATCTACGTGTGTCACTTCTCCAACACTGGTAACATTATAAGGATTCACCGAACTTTTACTAGACATCATTCGGTTAAGCTACGGTCCATAAGCGAACAATTCTCGATCCCACTCGGCGCACACTGTCATTTTCGCTACACAAAACACACGATCTGAGCATCTGCATTCGAGCAGAGGGCAAGAATAGGTCGCTGATTGGACCGCTGATGCCCAAGCTTTACGCATCCGTAGGTATGACTGACGTGAATCACAGCCTTGAATTCGCTGATTGGTTAACGGAAATAATACGCAACTTCGTCATCAAAATAGGACCGCCCTGTTTTCAGTGAAAAGTGTTCAGTTTTTTACTACCATAGATTTTGATCGCTCCTTTATCAACCTCCTTGGACGAAGCCAACAAGTCGGAGTGTCGATATTTTACAGTGTAACATCGAGGTGGTAGTACTATTTGTCGATCTGGTCTTATGAGTGAGATTTCAGTCAAAAAAGAATGTTTAGATTAAACATAGAAAAGGTCAGAAATTAAAAAATAAATTTATTAAGACGACTTTATTTATAATTCACCTCAGAAAAATACATTATTAATAAACATAAACACAACATTTAAATTTTATTAAATGAAAGTCGATATTAGAAATATACTTTCATGGCAGTTGTTTAAAACAATATAAAAAGTGTATATTATTTTTATTTAATTTCCCATTTAAAAGCCTACGATTAAAAGAATATAATACATACATAGCATAAGCCTATCATACTTTATATATGAAAATAAATAAATAAATAAAGATATATTTATATATTTTAGATATTGTATCTGTGGGTATAAAATTCCGAAATAAAAAGTGAATAAATTTTTCGGATCCGAACATACGTGTCCTACCATATAAATCCCTAGTGTATATATATATATTTATACCTGTCTCTTATACACATCTAGATGTGTATAAGAGACAGGATTACATTATTAGCATGGAAACTACAAAGAAGATTCATATCAAGTTGCATTTATTATTAATGATCAGAACTACAAAAAACTACCGAAACTAACAATGGGGTGGGGTAACAGCGACGTATAGTGCTCCATGCGAATGCAGAGTGCAGTACTAATAGAAGGTTATCAAGTGTGAATTTACTCTACACCTGTTTCATGCAGTAGCAATCTTCAGGATTGAGTGAATAAGAAGATAATTGAGGTATATATGAGGTTCCTGCTTAAGAATATGTTACACAATTAGCATATACACCTGGCTGAATCTGAAACAGCTGTTTAAATAAATTCACGCTCGACATAATCTTTCTATATATATATAACTCATCAAAGAAAGGTAAATACAGTGTTAACGGCTATCTATATATAAATTATGTCAAGCGTTGAGAAAGACTGCAGGAGTAGCCAAATATTCGTTTCAATAAATGTTAAGTGTTTCGAAAGTCAACATTTTACTTATTTGAGATTGTATTACCGTTACGCAGTACTATTATATATATATATATATATATGTATATATATATATATGTATATATATATATATTATATATATAAATCTAGATAGCCGTTAACACTGTTAAATTATATATAAATCATCAAAGAACACTGTATTTACCTTTTTATGATTTATATATATATATATATATGTATGTGTGTGTGTGTGTGTGTGTGTGTGTGTGTGTGTGTGTGTGTGTGTAAGCCATGAGAATGATAAAAAAAAGTCAAGTTGACGTATTTTTGGTACATAATTGATTAAACACGAATATTTCGTCCACTTCCGTGGACTTCATAAGCGTAAGTCACTTATACTCTTTTGAAATGTAAAATCGTACAGCTTAAAAATATTTTAGCAACTTTTAATTTTACACTTAAATATAACCCGAAAGGTAGTAAATAGCAATGCTATTGTTTAATAAAGAGAGTGAAAGTTGTAAAAAACATGATGTTAATTCAACAACAGCTTGAGCAAAATGTAATGAAGCCCTACCAATAATAAGGAAGTATGTTTATTATATTGAGCTTACATAACGCCCATTCGTTTCTATATTAGTGAAGTCGCACTGTACCGTAACCCTCCTAACAGTAAGAATAGGCAAATTTGAGTTATATCCTGTAAAATATACACTTCCAATAATAATAACTTGATAAACTAATAGTAAATTGACAAATATTGTTATTCTATTTCAATTTTCTGTCTATCAATTGAAATAGATACCGCACTTTTCAGTATTTAGAGGTATCTATTACATATTAGTATATAGGCTTATATTAGTGTGCATTGTTGAATTTACGCGACTATCATTATCGTTGTGATGTTACAATAATATTATAATAGGTTTATATTATTTCAATTGAAATTTGATTTGCGCTAAGTTGATCTTATTTATTTTTTGTTGTTGTTGTATTAGATGATGTTAACAGGCCTAGAATCGTAGCAGCAGCTAGTGTAGGAGAAGTAGTAACAGTAGTACGACCATTGGTGGAGCGGGGGTGGGGCGGGTGGGGGAATTTTCATACCGTCGTACAGACCTGGACCTCCTGTCGTCCGACGAACGGCTAGGTCGTCGGATCAAAAATAAAAAAATAATGATAATTTGCATATTCAAATAACGCTATTTTGATTGCTAATCCCTAATATTTTTGTTGTCATCTTCATCTTTGACCCATTTTAATCCAGGCTTAAATTTCATCTTTTTTTTTCAATTCTAATCTTTCTTTTCTTTTTTTTTGGTTTTCTTTCTTTTGTCTTAACACTGGGTAAAAGAGCGCATAGAGGCATTGCACTGTATTATGCGCTATAGAAATGGAAGACCATTACCATTGTTATAATTATTATTGTTGTACTATATTTTGCTTTTTTTTAAATCCAGAAGCTGGTCTGTTTCCATCAAATGCTAAAATGTCACACTGAAAGGGGATTAGGCTCAAGAATATGAATAAAAATATTAAAAATGTTATACAGTATTACATTATATTATCCTAATTATCATTATTATTAATAATGATTGATTTAAAACATAACGGGAACTCTTCGTCAATAAAAACAATCACATATGTATACCATCATATATATTAGTGTATTTGAAAAGAGAATTATCAGAAGCCACACAATTCTATTAACTTTGACATATTACCAGCACATGTGGTGTCTTGTATCTCCCGGATGTCTGTTCTATGGACCCGTTTTTGTGTGTCTAAACCGTGAACTTGTTTTCAAATATATATCCTGTAGGAAGGCTCTCTGGTATTGTTTCACCCATCATTGATTAGCCTAACGCTAGAAGAAGAACCACTGTCTTTCCGCATCGCTGAAGCCGGATAAATTACATTCGCAAAGAGCTTTATCAAGAATTCTATTTAATCATAGGCTATATTGTTTTGAAGATTTAATAACCTACATCAGGGCATATGGCCATCGCTTAACCCCAGGACCGAGGCGTTTGGCTAAAGTTTACCCGGCACAAAGGCGCATGTTCGATGTTAATCCTGGGTGGTAGGCACATTCCCACTGATTAGCCGGAGGACAAAACATTAATTCGAGGGATAGTAAAACCAGTAAAACCACAATAGGGATCGGTGGTCAAACGAAAGACATTTCAAACTGAAATTTAGTTTGACAAAATGTACTGGTCAGGCAACATGACAATGCACGTGCAGTGTACTGGCCTGAACGAAAATCGATAGTTTTTATATTGGTCCGTTGAGGAGTAGGGCTTATCGTCGTATTATTAATAAAGCTGTGTTTTTACAGTTGTTTCACAATGGATTGAACTTATATATACGCTGCATCTACACTTTACCTTCGTTTTGAATTGATACTTTTAAAATGTACGAGATGTACGAAAGTAAGGCCTGTCGCAACAATAGGCCTATGTTTTGACAATGGCTCTCATGCAATGACTGTCTAATTGTATGCTCTACCTGGATATTTCATAAAATATCAAACAAAATAAAAACCCTTCTTCATTAATTGCAAATACGTAGATATTGAAGTGTTTTATATACAAATACTTTACCATAACGTAGGTCTATAAATTATGTAACAATATAGGCCTAATTAATATACAAAATATTACACTGTACTATAATGTTTTGGCTGTCTTGTCCATGCGACATTATTTAGTGCCCATAATATTATGCAACAGACGCGTTTAAGAAAATGAAAGAGATTCATTCACTACTGGCATTTAGATTCACCACCTTTGTGGTTAAGTAATCACGTTCGCCTTATATGCGAAAGGTTTCGAGTCCCGGTGTAGACAGATTTTTTATTTTTTAAAGTATTTTTTTCCCCTTCAGATTTGACTTTTGATATGTTTCAGTTAATGTTTATTCATTGCATTTGGGTTCCATTCATCCTTCCATTTAATTTATAAAAAAAAACAAAAACAAACAAACAAACAGTTAATACATAGCCTACACAAGTATCTCTTTCGAAATCCAGCTTACCCTAATAATAATAAAATATCTTTTTATAATGTGCTTTCAAATTCCAATTGACACCAAAATCCAAATCAGTCACTATCTGCGGAAATGTATCCGTAAACTATTTATAATTATGCAGCTGATCTGTTTATCTTTGCAGTATATCTGTAGTTATAAGCCTACAATATCATCATTGATGGTTGTCATTAAAGTTAATATTGTGACAATTAATTTCAATTTTATTTGGTGTTTCCTTATAAAGCTGTATATCATAATCCTTTATAAGAAGCTCAGACATCCTGCCCCCACCCCCCCCAGCTCTTTAAGTAACGCCTACTCAGGAGACAGGTAGGTCCAATTTGCAAAGCCAATTAAGTCGAAAAATGAATCAGTAAATACAATTTTTCTTAAGCTATCATGTATCGCACTTGTACAAGCAAGACATCTCTTGCAACAATTTCCGTTTCTTCATAATTCCAATTAGTTGACACAGAAATTTTAATAATGATCGTAAAGCTGGCACGAGTGCGATTATTATGAAGGCGTTCCTGCGATTGTCCCAATCAAGATCCGAAGCCCTTGAACATGATCTAAGCTAATATACTGGCTAACTCCACATTCACCTACAAGACGCCGTGTGTGCATCCGTTCTCCTTCTTGAGTCTATGCAATGAAATCAGCAACATCTTGTGCTGCTTGCCTCCTGCCGGTAAACAACCC